TTGGAGCTACTTCATCTGGAGTAATTACTTCATCTCCATCATGATATTCGAAATATCCAATCTCCTTTAACGGTTTGAATAGCAACCTCAAATTTTCATATTTTGGTTGATACAGGGACTTGGAATACAGATACACATTTTCGAATCTCAATCCATTTGGTTCATCTAGCAAACTAATCATACAATTCGTCTTACCGCATCCTGAAGAGCCAACCATCAAGGCACGTTTTGAGTTTTCTTCAAATATATCTCCATGTTTCTTGAATTGATTGTTAATGATATAATTATCATGATTGGTTACAGAAAGTTTCACCTTGTGTTCCTCAACCCTCATCTTCGAATGAATAACAAATATAAAAACACTAACATTTTATGAAAACTGATTTTATATCAGATGGATCTGTACAATCAACAACTCAGTAATCATAGTGATACGAAAGGAGCGGGTTTATTGAATACTCTCATAGATAAACTCCTTTTCGAATTGCATCTACCTGGTTATGATTTTTGCGGACCGGGAACGAAGTTATCTGAGCGACTTGCCCGTGGAGACAAAGGCATAAATCAATTAGACGAAGCCTGTAAAGAACACGATATAGCATACTCCAAATAAAGAGATTTGAATGGAAGAAACAAAGCCGATCGTATTTTGTCTGAGCGTGCATTGAGCCGTTTTAACAATAAGAACTCCAATCTTGGTGAAAAGATCGCATCACTAGGAATCGCAGGAATAATGAAAACTAGAAGCAAACTAGGAATGGGATTGAAAAAAATAGGTGCGCTTACTTTCAATCAAGCGATTCGAAAAGCACGGAATAGTGTCAAAGGTAAAAATATTGATCTACTCCGAGCTGCACACCAAGCATTATCCTCTATTGGCAATAAAAAAGTTCTGAAACCAAAGAAAAGAATCATTCCTATTTCCAAATCTGGAGGGTTCATTCCACTAATTCCTCTATTCGCCACTATTGGTGCTCTTGGTAGTCTTGGAGGAGGAGCAGCAGGAATCGCTCAAGTCATAAACAAAGCTAAAGCGGCAAAAGAACAGCTGGATGAACAAAAACGTCATAATTTGAAAATGGAACAGCAATCATTGGGAAAAGGGTTGTTCTTGAAACCTTACAAACGTGGATATGGATTATTCCTAAAACCATATTCAAAAAACTGAAAATGAAGCTACCACGCCGTCCATTGACAAATGTAGATTCATTGAAAAATGTTGACAAACTAGAAATACCACATTTCCGAGGAGTGTTCATGTTGGATGAATTACCCAATAAAATCAGAAGATACGAGAGTGGTATTGTCAATCTTGACAAAAAAAGTGGTGAAGGGACACATTGGGTGTGTTTCATCAAATCAAGACAGAATATCCCGTACTTTGATAGTTATGGCAACTTAAGACCTCCTCTCGAACTCATAAAATATTTCTACAGCGATGGTAGCTCTAACAACGTAGAGTATAATTATGATGGTTTTCAGTTGGACAATCCTTATAATTGCGGTCAACTCTGCCTCAAATTCTTATATAATATGTACCACACTTGAAAATCATGTAGTACATCATAGATAATGTCGCTAGCATTTTCATTATCTGGTTCATCCTCTGTGCTCAGTTCGGATTTCAATCCAGTCATACATCTGGAGGAAAATACTGAATATGGTTTAGCACTCACTAGTTTCGAAACATTCAATGTAATTCCCAATGTAGACGAACAAAATAACCAATTTGTTTTCGGTGACAATGATAATTCCATCACGATTCCAGTGGGATCCTATGAAATCAATGATCTCCAGGACATTATATCTCATAGAGTCAAAGATATCGACAAAGAAGCAAGAATCGATATCATTCCCAATTTCAACACTCTATCAGTGACCATGAATACAAATAGGAGGATCAATTTCACTGATAATTCTATTGATGGATTATTGGGATTTAGTAATCGTATCTTGGAAGCAGATCAAATTCACACATCGGATACCACAGTGAATATTTTGAGTGTCAATGCTATTAATATATATTGTAATATAGCAACACAAAGTTATCATAACGGCCAAGAAAACCATTCGATTCACACTTTCAGTCCAGTTGTTCCTCCAGGATACAAGATTATCGTAACTGTGGATTCAATTATCTATTTCAAGATAAGTGTACGGACAATAGACAACATCACCATCAAAATATTGGATCAAGCTGGAAGACTCATTAATTTCCGAGGCGAAACCATAACTGTCAGCCTTCACTTGGAAAAACTCGGATAATTATGGTTATTAAGTACAATAGGATGGTCGGCCCCATTTGGTATAAGGGAGCAAAGATTTTAGGAAAACCCACCAGTGTGAAGAAAAACACCAAGAGACTAACACGTTCCAATCGTCTTTTTTTAAAGTCTCTAGGATTTACGCTCCTAATATAATGGATATTTTGAATATCAATCAAAAACCGTTAGTTGACCAATCAATTCAAGAAAAGGAGTATCACACATACCAACCATTTCTACAAAAATTTGAATACAATGACGAAATTAGAATATCAATTCAGGAGCTTGATACATATACTTTGCCATGTGAAAGTTACCTACACATTGAAGGTTGTTTGACGCAATCCAATGGAACGGCTATCGACAAACTCAGATTCATCAATAATGCTATAAACTTTCTATTCAGAGAGGTGAGGTATGAATTGAATGGTATAACAATTGATTCAGTTAGAAATATTGGCCTCGTATCGACAATAAAGGGGTACTTATCATACAATGCGAATGAAAGTATCAACTTGGAAAACGCAGGTTGGTTTCCGAAAGTGAATTTCGCCAACAAGGATGAGAAAGTTCTTGTAGATGCTAAAGGAAATTTCAGCGTATGTATCCCACTTTCCTTCATCATGGGTTTCTTCGAGGACTATCGAAAGGTGATTTTGAACATGAAACAGGAATTGGTGTTGATTCGAAGCAATGACGACATCGACGCCACATACAGTTCCGATGTGAAAGAAATTCCAAAAGTACACATCGACAAGATATTCTGGAGAGTGCCTCACGTTTTATTAGATATTCCACAACAATTGCTGTTCACTAAAATGGTAGAAAAAAATCAAGAAATATTTCTAGCATTCCGAAGTTGGGAACTCATAGAATACCCCAATTGCCTACATCCACAAAAACGACATGGCCTGTCAAAACGAAAAATCAGTTGGAAACACCACGTCACATCATCGTTGTCTTCCAAACAGACAGAAAAAATAATATTAAATCAGATTCAAGTAAATTCGATGATTGCGACTTGACAAATATTCGAGTTTTCTTGAATAGTGACAGATACCCATATAATGACTTATATCTGAATTTCACTGCTAATAAAACTTCCCAATTATATTCCAAGTTCGCAAATTTCAGACCATCGTATTATGGATCTAGTAAGGAACCTATATTTTCACCGAAGGAGTTTGTAGAGAACATCCCTATGGCATACATCGACTGTTCCCATCAGAAAGAATCTTCGCAAAGTGGATCAGTTGTGATGAGAATAGAGTTTGAAACAGCCAAAGCAATTCCAGACAACACTTCAGCATTCTGTTTGATTTTACATGATAAAATGTTCAGCTACAGTCCTCTGACAAAAATTGTCAAGCAATTGTAAAATGAATTCTTCATCCCCCCACTATACTCTTTCATTTTAAAGATAACATTCAAGTAGTCGATGAATTCAGTTGTGTATCATCATCCACGCAATGAAGTTATTGAGTATAGATATCCAAGGGTTCTCGTTATCCAATACGTTTTACCCCAAAGAAACTATCAATTTCGAATGGCTATCAGATCAACAACTATTTATTCAAAGCAGCCGTTCCATTTTGTGTAACTTCAGGAAGCAGCCAAAAACAAGTTCGTTGGCTAGAACGAAATTTCCATGGGCTAACATACTCTTCTGGGTTGATAGACTATGATGAATTACCGAATATACTATCAGAACATCTCAAAGATGTTGAGTTTATGTAAGAGGACACCAAAAACTCGAATTTCTAAATTCGGTGCTAACGTCATCTCACAGACCCAAAATAGTCAATATCGAAATTTTTGACAATGTCATGGATACTGTCAAATTCAAGGCTGATAGTCCTCTATGCATGCACCATAATTCCAGTGACAGCAATATGTGCAGTTTTCGAAATTGCAGGGATTTACATAATCGGATAAGTAGTCTCCTACCTCAATGACCTTTTCATTTGTTTGCTGACCGCTCAGATGTGCATCAACGACTTATTGAATCAACATATCAGAAACCTAAAGGAACTCAAAATGACTATCGACATTTTTGAGATGACGAAGAATTTCAACAGCATCAAGATAAGCTCAAGAGAAGAAGAAAAATGGAACCAACAGGTTTTTTCCAATCCGAGACGATTCCAACAAAACAAAATGACCACAACCAAACGAGTTACTTTGAAATGTCCTACTTTTAGTTAATACAATTATCAAATAATACTCTTTGTTTGATTCACTGATCCCTCCCTTAGGTTATATCCAAAATGTACAGTACCCTGAGTACTGCGTTCAATATAGCGGGTCTCAGAATACTTGATACTGTGACAAGCAGGAGAATCTCATTTCTGAGATGCTTCACCACCTGATTCTGAGATCGCAAGAATTTCCATATTGAAACCATATGTCCATATAACATATAGAGCGATTCTAGTATCAAGAAACCATAAGACTGTTCTGAGATCATTGATGTCCTGGCAACATAGCATGTGTGTATGACCACTGATTAGTGAGCTCTAGTATTTTGCTGAATTCTCATGGTTCTAACTCTACCAAAATAGTGGATAATTCATCAGAATTGAAGTGATTATGTCAATTATCCAAGAATGAAAATTTAAATCCTATAAGTCAGTTAATAAGTGAGTGAGTCGTGTTTACATCCATCGGCGCGGCGTGGATCATCTGTGAGGTGTCTATTAAACTGTTTCGTCCGTCTCAGTACTTGATAAATCAATCATGTCCAAATCAACAAGAAGTAATAGTATTTCACAAGTTGATGACGGAGCTCTGGAAAATATAATTAACAGGGTATGTTCAAAATTTATCTCCACACTGGAAGAGAAACTTGAAAAAGTTGATAAAACCCTGAATAAATTAAATGATAGCCTATCTAAAATGGAACGAAAAGTAGCACTGAATGAAAGGAAAATCGTAACTATTTGCGATCAGCTGGATGACCTCAGTAGTTAAAACTAAGAGAGCACGACTATCAGCATAGGGAAATACATGCTTTAATCTTAACTGGAACGCGGCCTGTGTTCTAGCGGGGAAGCGGGGTAGCGGGAGCGCGAGCTTATCGAAACCGCAACAAATAACACTTTAATGACAATAACAAGATGGCGGCGGCATCATCATCATCATGATGAATTTTTAAATAAATAAATTAAAAAAAGCTGTCACCGCTGGGGGAATTGAACCAGGGACCTTTGCATTATGAGGCAGCGTATATACGCACTGTGGTATTCCGACCTACGTGATATTTCAATTATTTTAATGCTATTCAAACGGGTTATCCATCGCTGGCGCGCGCTTATCTTTGCAATGGATCCATCGAGGTAGAGTGAAGCGAGAGATGCATTCCAGAGATAAGAAACTTCGAGTTGAAAATAATATCCATCGCTGACGCTCGCTTATCTTTGCAACGGATCTATCGACGTAGAGTAAGGCTCGAACGCTCGGCGCTGCAACGTTGTCGGACGTATGTGTTTGGCTGTTAATATTGTTACATTATTGGTGTGTGGCAACGCTGTCTCGATTCATGGCGTTCGAAGATCTAGCAAAGCGAGAGATCCCGTAGAATGATAAGCGCGCGCTCGTATTGGAAACGAATACTCGGATTATTTATTTTGAAGTGGGTGACGTCATACCGTTACTTTCATGGCGTTCGAATTTCCAGCAAAGCGAGAGATCCCTTAGAATGATAAGCGCGCGCTCGTATACCCATTCCTCAAACTGTGACTTTAATGACAATAACAAGATTGAATTTTCATATACAGGGTGTTTGAGTTGATGAAGATTGGAAAAAAATATATACAAGGCGGCCCATGAGGGTGAAAGAATACGAAAACGAAGATAAATAATCTATTTATTTAAGTAATCCTTTTCTACAAAAATGACATGTCTCTTGAGAAGATGGCGGTCCATCCCAGTGTGTGGTCCAATCGGGACGATTATAATGAACGAAGCATGGCAGTTTGATTTGTAGGTTAAAGTTGCTGCGATATTCTTGAGGAAGTTTGTGCCACACCCTTAATAGCCCATAAGGATCTGCATATTCAATGAGACATTTTACTGGAATGTACTGCAATTCTTGTTCAGTGAATTTCGTCAAAGTCAAAGCGGGAGATTTTATAAACTCCAATAGCACAGCTATTTCAGACTTCATGATTTTTCGAGCAGAGCTAATATATTTCAGATGCTACTAGTTTCGCGTCAAGTTGTAGACTGATGAAATAAATAAAAAACGAGTCACATATTTCACAGGTTTTTATTCAAATCAGCCATCAAATCATTTTTACAGTAATATAGATATTCTCTGAGAGCGTTACTAGACATGCTATTGCAAACATCGCAAAACCCTAATATAAGCTCTTGTGCACTCAAAACAGTCAGTTTATTTTTTATCCATTCAGCTATCACATTCATAATATTCTGATAAAACATAAAAAAGTCCAAGTCATTGATTAAATTAACTCGATGTGAAACAATGCACATTTCAGCACTCAAAATGTCTGCAACATCCCCTTCCACCAATTCGAATGTAATGTGGTATTTGGTTAGTGACAACATTTTGACACCATCGCAAACGAATTTGGTTATGGTGATATAGTCTCCGCAGGTGGTAACGGCAGGATCATATTCATCAATGAAACAGGGCAGGGGTGCTTCAAAAAAGTCTTGTTGTACCTTATACAGCGAATCGATGAAGGTGGCCCATTTATATGTGGAGAACGAAATTTTCGCTGGATGGAATGGTTTCTTCAGGATGATGCTCGGACTAAACTGTCTAGCTGGACTAAGTCCGCACTCGCACTGAATCATGTAGGTGGACAACTGGAACGATGAAGTCAGCAGGAGGTACGATTCGGCTTTCGCTGCTTGCTCAATCATGTCCAAATATGTATTGACATCACCATAATAACCCATCATTGATGATGATGATGATCTAGAACTACCGTCTTCGGAAAGCACTTCACTAGATGAATAACCAGAGTCTTCACTCATTGTTCTCGAACTGATGTGTTGAAAGTTTCAGTCCTCATTATTTATACCATAACTGTTGACCGATCATAACATCCGGCAGATTGGAATAACAGGTTATTTGTTAGTGATCGATGAAAGGCCCTCTCATAGCCATTGAATGTGTGCTTCTTTTCTATATGTTTGCATTATAATTTATTGTTGGAATCAATCCAGCTGTTGTGTGTATCATCGAATCCTAGCCATTTGACAAACACCTTTTTACCCCTCTTTCTTAAAACTTCTTCCACTAGATAGATGTCAGGATTTATAGTTTTTTGCAATTCTTCAGGATAAAAAGCACCTTTGATCGGAGTACCATGCAAATCTTCCAAGATGTATGTAGTAGGTTTCGTAATACGAACTTTTACGATTTTAAATAGTTCAGTAGTCCAATTTGGCGTATAATTCTTTTCGAAAACATGTTTGGCTTTGCTTATTCTCACAATGTCACCAACATCGAATTTTCTAATTCCAGCAATTTTGATGTGATTGTACGTGGATTTTAAAATATCTTGTTCGTTGGCTTTGGTGACGTCACTGGGCTTGCATCTAATCGTCATATGTTTCGAATTATTATAATTTTTCGTGATTTCAGGCAGGACATCTATCCAACGGTATGAGCCATTCAAACTAAAGAATTTGTAGTTTTTCCTTCGATGTTCGTATAACACGTTCAGCAATGGCTGCCTTCATTATGGTGTACGTATGATAATGGTTGATGGAGAACTTTTTCATCAGACTTTGAAACTTTTCGTTGTAGAACTCAGTACCTTGATCGGTTTGCAAATTCTTGGGAATTCTGTTGTTGGCATGCGATAGAATATCAGCAAATGCACGAGCGATTTCAGCACCAGTTTTTGATTTTAGTGGTCTAGTCCATAGGTACTTGGAAAAACAATCAATCACGACCATTATCAGCTTGTGATCCTTATTTACAGAGGCATAAGGTCGCATTTCGGCTAGATCCATTTGCCATAAGTCATCCAAACCTCTGATGATAATGCGGCGCCTTGGAAATTTTTTCCTAGCAGGTCTATGTAATTCATTGACGAGTTGGATTTTTTCTTTAGAATGTGACATATTGACTTCGTTGGAATAGGAGTTTATATGATGGGTTTCACACAGGAGGCTTCCTTTTCGGTGGCGGTGGTGTTGTCGTAGATTTTGGAGTGATGGCAATCTTGGCCAGATCTTTTTCCATTTGATCAATGACATCAGCAAGCTGGCGTTCTTCATCACGGCTGTGTTGTTGCTCAGCCTTCAAATCGTGCAAACTCTTCACAGTGTTGTCAATCTTATCGACAAGTTCCAGAATATTTTTCACATTCAAGTCGATGTCGCTTTCGAGTTTTGGTAGAGAGTTGTTGCGAAGCTGCTCCACATGTATGTTGATCTTGTGCACTATGCCAGACAACTGAACAAAGTTTGTATTGAACGCTGCCAGTTTCAGATCATGTACATCCACTCTCTTCCTTTCTTCGATTATTTCGTTGCTGGAGCCAGCAAGGTAATTTCGGATTTTTTCACCGTAATTATCGAAAGCAATCTTGAAATCTAACTTTATTTGCGATATTACTTCATCCACATATTGTTTGTTTGCAACATCAGCGACATCTGTTGGCAGTTTTACGTTACACATCTTCAAATGACCAACATCAATATCACCGGTTGGAGTATGTGAAAATCCAGATCTGACTGTCACCATCTGAGCTGAACGTGGAAAGGAACCACGTCCGAATTTGTCGAGACTCATTATGCTAATGACTAAAGTATTGTACGTTATCGATAATGGTCGACACTTTGCCTCGCCAATTATTAGCCCCTTCACTCATAGACATGCCATGGACGTGTCACGGAACTGTCACAGAAGTGTCAAGGAAGTGTAAGGGAAGTTCACGGAAGTGACAAGGAAGTGTCACGGAACTGTCACGGAACTGTCACGGAACTGTCATGGAAGTGTCAAGGAAGTGTCACGGAACTGTCACGGAAGTTGTCATGGAAATGTCAAACATGTTTTATTATGCCTGCCTCTTCTAATTCGTTCAAGATGGCAACAATCTCGTTATCGTTTGATGTATTTCCGGCTTGCTGTGATGCAATGAGCAACTTCAATCTATCTACCAATTCGTTTGGATCATCCCAATACATGTATTCGATAGGTGCTGTGTTGTATGTCAACTTCAAACCACGACCACTGGAATTGGATCTGAACATTGGACGAATAATTTCTACGTATTTGAGTCTAGAGGAAGACTTCATACGTCCTGCAGAATTCAGATGAGCTTTGGTGAGCAAGAGTATTTGCTTGTATGGGTTCGTATCATCTTTGGCAAAGGATGGATCATTATAGAAGAGTAATTGATAGAGGCCTGGGGTGCCACGGAACCGAAAGCCATCAAGAAGTATATCTCCAGTTCTTCGATGGAAATTCATTTCTTTTCCGTTGAGGGACCATTTCGATGTTACTGGATCATATTTGGGGCCATAAACCGTATCGATATTTTCATCATTTGTCCAGTATTCAGTCAGATATTTTTGAGCCATCGCAGGATACTGGTCAACGTGATCATGTATTGCAGCCGGTGAGATATTTTCACTCTCTACAAAAAGTTCATCATCAGCATCGTCATAACCATCCTCATCATCATCTTCAGTATGCTCAGCATTATCAGCCACATCCATCATAGGTATGAAATTAGTTTGGATCAAATCCGATTGCTCCCTCTCCATCTCCCTATCCTCTTCCTCCTTCTTCTCCTTCTTCAACCCCAACGATTTTGCTCTGCTTCGCTTGATGTTTGAAAGCGTTCCATCGAGTTTTTCTTTTATTACCTTGGACGTGGTGGCAATTTGTTTCAAAGGTGATGTCAGTGGTTGGAATATTTTCTGTAACGCATCATCATCCTCAGACTTGCCCAATTTTAGTGCTAAATATTTTCTTCTGATTGATTTCGATAGTTCATTGATTTTTTTCTTGCGCAGCGCATCAGCAACATCATCATGCATCTTGGTTGACGTCATCTTGATGAATGGTCCAGAGATCACAGTCTTATGAACTTATCGGAACCATTTCTATATCTGCCAGCATTCATATCGAAAGTTTTTGCAATCACCATCGCACCATATTGGTTAGAATTCCAACACTCTGAGCACAATGCTTTGAATTGATCGAATGACATGTCTGGTGAGACATGCTCGTCGAACACATGCTTCAAATTCATTTCATCCTGTCGAAATAACACCAACAGGTTACTGTTGTCTCGCACCAGCTGCTTCGGTATCTTAGAAAAAGTCTGGCATAGGTATGCTACGTCAATATCCTTGTGTCTACACATTGAAAAATATTCTCGAATTTTTTGCTGCTTGTCGCATGATACATCATCAAAAATGAATATCGAATTATTTTTCGCTTCTGATGGACTGATGACATCATCATTTTCTTTAAAGGGAAAATACCCAACACCTTTCACTGAATCCAACACTTGTTGCAGCAATTGATATTTCGGTTCGTACAACGACTTTGAATACACGTAAACGTTCTTGAATTTCGCGCCATTTGGATTGAACAGCAGGGAAAGCATCGCATTGGTTATTCCACATCCGCTTGGTCCGCAGAAGATTGCTCTGAACGAATGGGGAAGCAGTTTCCCATGTTTACTATTTACTGGGGGTTTGGTTGACAAAATTCCATCCAAATTCACAATGGGCAACATCCGTTCTTGTTGAATGATCTTCATCATGTGATGATATATTTTTCATTTCATTAGGTATATGCAGAGTTGTCGAACTTCCTACACATCAGTCTTCATGTTGCTCTACCACGGAGAGGGTGTGCTTAATTCTCTGATCGATAAACTTCCCATCGAATTACACATTCCAGGCTACAGATTTTGTGGTCCAGGTACCAAACTCGATAAAAGACTTGCAAGAGGAGACACCGGTATCAATCCGTTAGACGACGCGTGTCGAGGACACGATATCGTCTATTCACAAAATTCCTCAATAGAAGACAGGCACAAAGCTGATTGGATATTGGAAAATAGAGCGTGGGAGAGAGTCAAGTCGAAGAACGCTAAATTCAAAGAGAAGGCTGCTGCTTGGCTTGTCACCACCGGAATGAAGGTCAAACGAAAACTTGGCATGGGTCTTGTATCACAGCAATCCCTATCCAACATTATCAAATTTATAAAAAATGTACTATCAAAGTCAGATGGTGGTGGTGGTGGTAGTACAACATCAGGAAGTGGTCTGAATAAATCTGCATTAAAAGCACTCCATGCAGCCAGAATGGCAATCAAGAGGGCTGGCGGTAAAAAAAGAATCAGAGTATCAAGAATCATACCTCTTCCACACAGTGGCGGTATACTACCATTGATACCAATCTTTGCCGCCTTGGGGGCCCTAGGATCTCTAGCTGGAGGAGCCGGAGCAGTCGCAAAGACAGTCATTGATGTGAAAAATGCAAAGAAAAAGCTCGAAGAAGATCAAAGGCATAATAGAGCAATGGAGGCTATCGGCAAGCAGGATTCCGGCCTATTTCTACGCAAAACATCGAGAGGATTCGGACTGTACTTGAAGAAACAATCAAAAAACTCAAAAAACTTCTAGACAAGCTACCCAATAAATCAATGTACGATGAAGATGTGATAAACTATGCCAAACAGCTGAAAATACCATATTTTCGAGGTGTTTTTATGCGGGACACTCTACCTTCCACCGGTCCATGGCATCGCGAGTGTGCTGTATCGAATTTGGATACCGCCAATCATGCGGGCACTCATTGGGTGGCTTACATAAAAAATGATAAAAAAAACTCATATTTCGATAGTTATGGCAATCTGAAACCGCCCAGAGAATTGGCTCAATATTTGGGTACCGGCACGAAAATCATGTACAATAATGAGCAATACCAAAATTTCAATCAAAGTAATTGTGGACGTCTATGTTTAGAATTCCTTTTTAATGACACCAAGTAACTCGATCATTGTGCATCAGTCATGTCTCTGATTGTGACGTTGAAAGGTCGTACATCTACGCTCTCCATAGACTTTTTGACACCACTTCAACTCGATCCAGACTCTGATTACGGACTAGCATTATTGGGATTCCATTCATACAACAGTATACCAAATATCGACAAAGGATCAAAGTTTTATCTGCAAGATAAGACCAAGGCGGGAAAGATCATCGATATTCCCGAAGGTTCATACGACATTGTGGACATTGAGACATTCATACGCAATGAATTGGGCATCTCAAGTGCAAAGGACGTTGATGATATATTCTCGTTGAAGCCCAACAATAATACACTAAAGTGTGAGATTTCGAGCCAAAGGTTTGCCATCGATTTTCGTCCAAAGGATAGCATAGCTCAAGTCTTGGGATTTTCAAATAGATTGTTGAACGCCCAACAAGTCCACACTTCCGATTTGCCGGTCAGCATAACCAAAGTGAGAACCATTCACATTGATAGCAACGTTACTGCTGGAGCTCTCTACAACGACAGACCATCACATACGATCTACGAGTTTGCAGTTGCAGTCGATCCTGGTTACGCCATAGACGAGACTCCCAGAAATCTAATCTATCTACCTATAGTCAGCAGGCGGGAATTGCCCAATATTACACTCCAGATTCTAGACCAAGATTTCAGGCAGGTGAATTTTAGAGGTGAAGAAATCATCATAAGATTGGAATTGAAGAAACTCGCAAGATGGTACTAGTGTTTGATTACTCCTATAAATTAGATAATATACCATCATCAGCAACATTATCGGCACCAGTTCTCTCGACACCGTACACCAAAGCAGTCGTGTCTTCGAAGAGCAGCAGCAGCAGCAACAGAAAAACATTGACATTATCCAGTGTCCTGTTTCTGAAATCATTCAAAGACAACAATGTTGTTAGCACCCGTGTTCGACGTTTTCCGCAAACCCAGACTCGACGAAAGCATCACTAAAGTGGAATGGCGTACCTATTATCCATATGTGAAATCATTCGAGAACAATGATGTCATCGATATAACGGTTAATCAAGCAAATTCGTGGTTGGCCATGTTTGAAGGCATCATTACCATCAAGGGTAAATTGAAGGTGACCGGTGGTGGTACTGGTACATCAACCCACAATGCTGGAGCCTATCTCTTTGATTCCTGCACCTATGAATTATGTAATAAAGAATTGGACACTGTCAGATATCCTGGAATAACGAGTACTGTGCGAGGATACTTGTGTTATACACCTGAAGACTCACGTCATCTAGCCATAGCAGGCTGGAACTATCCCAATGCTCCGATCCTCAACACCGATGGCACGTTTAGCATGAACATTCCACTGAAACATTTGTTTTCCATCTTCAATGATCATCAAGTGGCAACGTGGGGCAAGCAGTCAATCCGTTTAGTGAGAGCTCGCAATGATGCCAATAGTGTGAAGGTTGTCGAGAGAGCGAATACTGCTTTGCAAGGATATCCTCAGACTCAGAGTATTGCTAAAATAACGATAGAAAGCATCAATTTGAAAGTGCCACATCTCACACCCAACGATGACATAAAGTTGCAGTTGTTGACACGTATCAAAGCAGATGAGTCTATGATGATACCGTTTCGCCGATGGGAATTGCACGAGCTACCAGCACTCACACAAGGATCTACCATAGAAATCTGGTCCGTAAAGACATGTTCTGCATTGGACAGTCCAAGATATGTTATAGTATTTTTCCAAACGAAAAAAGCCGATAATTTGCATGAAGACGTCACCTTGTTCGATAATGCCAACATCAAATCCATACGATTGGCTCTGAATAGCGACTATTATCCGCAAGAACGAATGCTATTGGACTTTTCCCGAGACCAATATGCCGACGCCCACTTCAACTATACAGAGTTCAACAAGAGCTACCATAACTGTCAAGGAAAGCGCTCTCTAGTAAACTTTGCCGAATTCAAATCCCGACCAATGTTTGTTATCAATTGCTCGAGGCGCCATCTGGGTCTAAAGTCGTCCACAGTTGACATAAAGTTGGACATTGAAGCGACTACAGGCTTCCCTCCCGACACCAAAGCCTATTGCATCATCATTCACGATCAAATCATGGAACATCTCCCACTCAGCGAAATTGTTCGAAATATTGCCTAGGTGGGTGTTGCGGCATCAGTCAGACGTCAGTTTGCTTCGAAGAGTCATGGAGATCGCACTGGTTGACATTCAAGGGTTCATGGTTGATGGTGAATTCATTCCAAAGGAAATGACCATTCGCATTGGCAAAAAGACGAGTCATTTTCTATTCAAGCCATCTGTAGAATTTTCGAGTTTAAGCAGAGAAGATAAAAAGATGGCAAATCATGTGGAGCGTTACGTTCATGGTTTAAAATATTCCAGTGGTTATGTGGATTTGAATGAGTTGGATCAAATACTACGAGATAACCTGCAGCAGACCAACATCATCTACGTAAGAGGCCATCAAAAGATTCAGTTTTTGCAGCGAAAATGTGCAGAGTTGGAGATGGCCAGTCACATTGTTAATTTGGAAGATTTCGACAATTCTTGGTGGCAGCCAATAACGTTCCTACAATCCATTCCACCCTGCATGAATCATTTCCATGGAGGAAGGTTCCAGTGCAGTCTCCACAATGTCGATACTTTATATAATTGGTTATGTAATTTATTGCCAAAATAAAAAAACTTTATAATAATTTCAGAGTTTTTATTCATCACATCCCTTATTTCTCAGTATAATGAAAATAACATGTGAGATTAAAATGAGTGAACATATTAGTGTACAACAAAGTGTCAAAATTGCAATGATATTGACAGAATCTTGATCATCATCTAATTTTGCGGGTGATTTCTCCAATGTAAATGTCTGCCAGTCTCCCATTTCGCCGTCACTGCCATCAGAAAACGATAATTTCAATTTGTAGTCGATGGTGGCCCCATTGACTCGAGGCATGTCGATTGAATATACAGGTAGTTTGTTATCGTTGACATACATTCTACTCATCAGCTTCCAATCACACTGTTGTGTACGATTCACATCAAAACATACGGCTGCATTCCTCGTATTGTACGGTATGTTTGTGTAGAAGACGTTGTTGCTCAGAGCTGTCAATAGAATGAAGCTTGCTTTCAGTATCGCCATCTAGTAGCTGTGTTTTTTGGATTCTTCTCGATGTAGGAAACGTTGCAACTGAACGTCTTGGTTCTGTGAACACCTTGTCCCAAACACTCAATTGCTCGAAATCTTTGAACAAACAAACTTTCTGCTCATACAATTGGATGTCTGCACTGAGCTTTCTAACTTTCAACCCAAATTCTTCTAGTGCACGTCTGTATTCGTCAGAAGACATGATACAACTGTTTTTTACATCCATACCTTCAACTAATATCCATCCAATCTCTCTCTCTTTCTCTTTCTCTCTCTCTCTCTCTCTCTCTCTCTCTCTATCTCTCTCTCTTCTTCTCACTTTTTTACCCTCTCACTCTCTCTTACACTCACTACCCATCCCAATGATACACAGAAAATTTCAATGATTATTTTATTAATGATAGATAGACAGCATATTTTATATTTACATTAATAGCCAGGACAAGTATTACATTTTCATAAGAAAAAACATATTCTGAAAAAAAAAGGCATTTTTCATTGTCTTCTTTCGCAAACTACATTTGTAAAGATGATATCATGCTACTAAAATCTGTAAAATATTGTTAAAGTAAGTCAAGAATCAATATCTGTATGCTCATCACCAGAATCGATGAATCTCTCATATCTCTGATAATGTGAATCATGTAAATCCATATCACATTCATATTGTTCTTTAAGCCCAAATAATAATTCCCTAAATTCATTTTGACACCATAGGTTTCTATCGTGGTGAAGCATGTGCAATTCATCAGTTCTATAGTATAAGTGAAAATGATCTCGAATTATGTGCAAATTGATCTTAATATTATGCATTTTCAACACATCCATCAATGTTTTGTAACAACTATAACATAAAATCAAATTCAATTGTTTTATCTTATATAAAATTCACCCAAACACAATAATATGTTCGATAATATTCTAGAGTCCAATCATATTGACATAAAATTGCATTTCTTACACGACTTGTGGCTATTTCTCTGACATACAAAATATTTTCTAATGAAACCAATTCATGTGATTCATCATTTTTAGCATTCTCGATAATATAATTCCAACGATATTTGCTATATTTTTTGATTATTTCCTGGACTAATAGGTTTGGTAGCAGATGGTGTGAGATAGAATAATTCAAAAAAGATGTTATATTTTGAATTCTTTCGCAGATGACTTTGATGCTTAAATCTTCCAATCGTGAAGATGATGACATGATCTAAAACAGAGAAGTGTAAGTGTAAGTGTATGAGTTTTTTTCTTTATAAATGTTTGATGAGTTGATTTACATGAAAAAATTACTCTTTTGCCTGTGTATGACCCCATGGCAATGTGTCAAACGAACCTGGAATCAAATACCGTTTATCATCTTTGGGACTCAGAGCAATTTTTGATTGTTGAATGCTAAACACATTGTGGGCATATGAACGGATAGTACGTTGAGACACTGTTTGTGCTCCGAAATTCTTCAAACAATTCAAATAATCTTCGAACCCAATTTTATTCTTGACAACATTAGTTTTCACCCCTTTCGATTTTTTGACAACCTTACCCCCTTGTACTTTATATGCATACATTTTCGAACGTAGTCCTACGAAATTAGTAACGATTTTCCCATTTGCTCCATCTTTTAATAAACCCAACTTTTTTTTATTGACTAGTGGCATATTATATTTATTATCTGGAGCATATTCAGATGTGTCAAATTGAGAGAGATCAGCCTTTATAACTTCTTCATATGCATCATCACATTTCAATTCATATATGAAGCTGTCTGTATCCATATATAACAATTTACACCTTTCAATACCCATTTTCGGAATCATATACTCATAGTGAAATTTGTACATACACAATTTTGATAAATCTAAAATGGCCATTCCTACGTATAGAAGTTTATTAAAAATTATTTCGGTTTTCTGCATTTCTATGGCAATCAAGTTTTCTTCAAAAATTGTTCTACCACGGAATCGTGGACTAGCTATGAGATTTCTGGCTCCATAACGTCCCTGCCATGACCTTACTAGTTTCACTAATCTATGCTTTCGTATGTTTTCCATCGTCTCACCGAAAACTGCATTATTCATTAGTTTGAAGAGATTTTTCTCGAATTCATTTGTTGCGGCAAAGAAGTATTCAGATCTATATATGATTTGAGCCAAAAAGATTGCCTGAATTTCAAAATTTTGTGGATTTTCGTCAGTTTCAGTCCGTTTGCTAAACATTGTTTTAAATTTCTATAGTGTAAAATATAATCTTTTTTGTCGTGAAGTGTTGTCATTAATTCTGGTAATTTTGAGCCGGGTGGTATGCGATGTTCAGCAGCAAATGGAAAGTCTTTGTGATTGTTATGTAAGTCGCGAGGATATTCTAAGTCTACTTGTAAAATATATCCTTCAAGAGCAACATCATCAATATTCATTACGTTGAAATGTTCAACGTTTTCCATCCATGAGAAATCTCCGAATGGTAAAGACTCTGACATTGCCCAACCGTACAAATTATTTACATCTAAATACATGAGATATTTTGAAGGTTTATTGGAATCATATTCAGACATTTACTTGTTATTAGCTTCTGAATACCTACCACTACAAACAGAAATACCGCCACGTGATGCCTTCTCGATGAACATGATTTTATCAACGTCATTCAATAATTCCAGTTTGCATTTGGTGTACTTTAACATGGCATCCCATGTTTATCCAGGCATGGTATAGTACCATGCTGGATCTAACCCATAAGTTGTCCTACATTTCTGCCGGAGTTTCTCGAAAACAGCGGTCAACAACATAACGTCTGTTTTTAAATATAAGTCAGAATATTCCCCTAAATTTTGAATTTTGAATGACGACCATACCTTTTGAGCATGGGCGTACTGCTCATCGCTAATGTGTTCATCATTCAATTTATTATAAAAATATTTCTTTGTAGGTAATTCAGTATCATTCAATTTTTCCAAACAACTAATGTAATCGTAAAGAAAGACACCCTTCTTGGTGAGAAGGTTGAATGTATCATCGTTTAATTGACTGAATTCTTTTTTCAAAATTTCAAAATCTTTTCTATCCATGATTGAAGATAATTTATCTAAGGATGTACCCATGAAGCGAAAAGAGTCAATATATCGGAATTTGATGTCTGTATTGTCATCATGTTAAGTGAAAGATATGTACTTTTCCATGTTTATTGGAAGTATGCTCATACGGCCCTTTTTACTCAATTGACTGATCATGAAATGTGAATCATATCCTATCAGGTTGTGAAATGCAATTGGAACAACAAAGAGTTTCTTGAAATTTTTGTTACAGGGTGCTCGATGCGCCCACCCCCTGAACTCGCCTGAAAAGTGATTATGATCAGCTACGATAATGTCTTTCTCCCTGAATGGTTTCTCACAAATATGACAGATTTTTGCTTTGCATTTGTCAGGACTAACAGTCATTAGCACGATTGTTTTGATTTTAGATTGCACGATTTCAGCTATCTTCGACATTTCATTCGCAAACCAATCCATACAATCTTCATCCCTATGGCTATTGAAAAACGACAAGGAATCATCGAAATCACATTTATAATAATAGCCTGCCCTATGAGCCACATGTTTCTGATATTTGCTTGTTTTTGATGAAACCATATCATCCACATGTTCTAATTGACATTCAAAGTCTGCATAAATTATAAAGGGGGTGGTTTGTTGGTAGGTGAAATTTTTGAATTCTATGTGATCATATTTTGGAAATGAAACTTTGCATTGGTTCAATTCAGAACACAGCATTTCATGATCAATCAATTTTTGTTCACATTGAAAATAATTCATGCATCTTTCACAAATAAATTTTTTACCATTATGTTTATTCACTTGGCTTGATATTAATC